GGCTGTCACTACATTACTTGTTACTTTGTTACTTACATTACTATATTTTACTTGTCAGTTATTTTCTGTGGAAAACAAATAACGCTGTCTGTAAACGTTTTTCTGATACATTCAGTATCAACATATTTGCAACTTGCCAAATATGTAAATAAACCACATTTCCTCATTATGTTAATAGAAAACATAATCTGCTCACAATTAAACCTATTTGCTGTTGCAGTTTAGTTTTATAAAAATGTCATTTCTAAGAGACAGGGTTGCTGTGTGATGTCTCCTGTGCCGCTGGCTGCCACACAACCCCCAAATAGAATATTTCCTCCCTCATGTTTAACAGTTGACGACTTATTCTTTTCATCAAATGCTGCTCCTTTTTTTTCCCCCCTCCAAACACACCTTTGCTGATTGTGGCCAAAACAAACAACGGTCATTTGAACTTCACCTTCACCCGAGTGCTTGTTTCCAAAATGTGTCTGGCTTATTCACATGTTGTTGTGCAGATGTTGACTTTTGCGATGAGCTTGTAGGTGAAGTTTCCCTCTGATGACTCTTCCATGTAAACGCTGTTTGTGCATCAACACAGTGGAACGGTGCGCTGGCACTCCTGTGTCAGCTCTACCTTCCTGCAGCTGCTTTGCAGTCACATAGAGGTAGTTTCCTTGGTCTTACAGAGCTTTTCTTCCACAATTCCCTTTAACTGCCATTCCTTAATGATATTTTGGACAGTGAAGGCTTTCAAGCTTGAAGCGCTTTGATGTCTTTTTATAGCCTCCCCTGGTTGGTAAGCGTCAATTAGTTTCATTTTAGGTCCCCAGTCAGTTGCTTAGAGGAGTCTGTGGCTGTTGAGTGTTAACACAAGGTTTGAAGAGTCAGAGAATTCGTGAGCTGGCAATTCATCTTCACCTGCCTCGCAAGTTCTAACAATTCAATTAAGGCCTAACAAGTTAATTAAGGCCTAAGGCCCGAGGGTTTAGCTGGATACCCAAACTTTTGCACGTGCAAATGAGTGAAGTTGATGAAATAAAAAGTAACAGTGCATTAATATTTGAAGAAATTCTTATTTCTGCATGTCTGTTTGCTGCAGGGGTTTTATGTTAAAAATCAACAGACCTCTGCATACAGCTGTATACAGGCAAAGCTGCCACTTGCTATAGTATATGTATGGAAGTATCTTTTAATGTCATTTTAACTCATTTTACATTTTTACACAAATTAAACTTACAAAAAACATATGCAACATATACATTTTAGCTCCTTTTTCTGCTCAGCTTTTATCAGAAATCCTAACAGACTTTAACGTATTTTGTTTGTGTTACCTTGGAGACGGCCTCAGTGAAGGAATCGAAAAAACTATTAAGTTAATCATGCACAGCTGTTGCTCCTGTATTTACTGCTGTACTGTCCAGTTTGAAACTACAGTTATAAAATCACCATGGAATCTGATCTGACCCAGAGTAAATAACCATGAATCATTCACAATTGAATGAAAATATTATCATAATTATTATCATTATAGAGGGATTTTATATTTCATGTGTCTACACAAATTAGATTGTAAATTTATAAAGTCAAATCTCTGTTTACTACTGAATTCTTGTCAACAGAGCCATGGACTGTGTGGGTGCTGGTCTGTGTCCAGGTGGGTTTTGTTGGACCAGTCAGAAGTTCCGATCTTCATTCCCAGTCCACCCCTGCATATAAACTGTGCAAACGTGTGAAATAATAGAAGGCTGTTGAAAATTAATTTTTTTTTGTAAAAAAAATATGAAGATGGTTGAAGCTGTGAGTCTTTCTCTTTGTAATTATCAGTCACAATCACCACTCGTAGATCACTGCTCTCTCATCTTGTCTCAGACTGTTTAGATCTCAGATGTCAGAGCACATGAAAGCACCACATCACAACAAGTGTCAAACACACTTGTTATGATGTTTGTTCTCTCCTCACTGTGGCAACAATTACAGTCGATGTCTAAGACCTGATGCAACTCTGAGCACAGCAGCTCAGCTCGGGCCAGTCTAGGTTCTACATAATGGTTATACATTTGTTTTCTCATGGAGTAAGTTTCTATTTTCATTCCAGTCCATCTTATTGAAACCCAACTAACAGATATTGCATGTTATTGTGACATATCAAAAGTTTAACAAACATGTTTTGTTCTTGTTGCCCGCTGTCGCGTTGCCGCAAAATAAATCCGGCCCATACTTGGGCCACATAATTGTTTTCTCCTGGCCCAGTATACTCCTGGTTCCACGGGCTGAATCTGGCTCACATACAGCGTGAGTGTAAGATGCTACTTCCACATCTGGACCAATTCTGGCGCACACACAGAAAATCTTGAGGCTTTCAATCAATACAGAAAGACAACAGGTAGACCCTGCCCAGATGTGGAAGTATATGGGCCAGACTTGGGCCAAGCACCCAGGCATATGTTGAGTCAGAGGTTTCATGGGTCCTCCCTTTCGTTCCCATTTCCTCCTCTTCTCACTCCTCCTCCTTCATCCCTTCTATCCACATCTTGTGATTCAGTAAAGTCTAATGAAGCAGCAGGCAGGCTCAGCCCCTTTGTCCCTGACAGTCACAAAGTTAACCCTCATCTTAGTTCTGTCACACCCAATCTGGTCCCTTTCCCTTTTGAGTCTCTTCTATAGACATCCGCGCTGTTTTTTTTTTTTTTCCATATGTCCTTCTTTTGTGATGGTTCTTTCACCGCTGAGAAACAAAAGAGAAAGATTAAAAACAACATTTAACAGGCTTTAACCTTGAAAACAGAAGAAAAGGCTCAGGGTTAATGGAAGGGATGCACACATGTGTACAGTACACCTCTGTACATTTTTGTTCTTGAGTCCTTCCTCTTTCATTTTATTTTATCCTAAAAAATATATATTCAAAACTGTTAACTAAAGCTGATATGGTCTATTAATATTAGAGCAGTTATTCAAAATAAAGTGTAAAATAAAAATTCTGACCAACTTTTACATTTAAATGGTTCTAAACTTTAACACATTCCTTTATTAGACCACCAATGTTTCTGCCTTGGAGTGTATTTTACTCAGTAAAGCCACTTGTTATTGATTAAAACAAGCCTTTTCATTAAATCTACAATAGAAATAAAACTAGTGCAATCCTAGTAACACTGTGGAGGTTTTATGAGCCGGTACCGTTGTGTTTGTATCTCGTGCATGAGAGCACACAAGCACACACACACACACACACACACACACACACACACATACATGGGCTTGTAGTCATCACAGACACAATCCCGCTGAAGGTTTAATGCAATAGTTCTTTTCACAGCAGACATTTTGACTTGTCATAGCAGCAAGACCCTCAGTCATCCATGACAGTGTGACAGTAAGTGCATTTAAATCCACCTATTTTTATGCGCATTTTCAATTTGCACATAAAAAATAATAAATAAATAAATGGAAATTCTGGAAATTCACTGATCCACGCTCGGCTAAAATGGAAAAGGATAATGTTCACACACCAGTGATGGATAGAAACCATTTTCTTTTGCCAATTTTCTGAAAATGTATGTGTCTATTATATATATTATATATTTTTTTCTGTCAAAATGTCCTCTGTGAAAAAGGCCTATTCCACAAATCAACAGTAGGTGGCTGTAATGAGCCAAAAAACTCTAAAAAAATATACCAAGAAATACGGGGAAGAAGAAAACTTCCAGTTAGCCATTATCAAAGAAAATGTATTTAACATGTTTGACTTGAAGGACCCACACAATGCATTTTATTGAGAAACAATTGCAATCTAACTAATAACCTTTTTTTTTTTTTTTTTAATCAAAGGGTGCTATTTGTAAGTTTTGCTTTGATAAATAGCCAACGTTAGCATTTAACAACTGTTTACTTTCCAGTCTTTCCAGTTCATTCCTTTACTCCCCAACAGCTGTCTCCAGAGGTGGAAAGCAATGTCAGTGTTAACTCTTGTCTCTATCACGGCTTTTCTTCTACTGAAGTTATCATGCTAACCAGCCATACCTTGCCCGTTTCGTCACTTTCAGACAGTGACTCACTGTAGCCTGAGCAGTATTATAACCTCTTGTCTTGTAAACACAACTGTTACCTCCTAGGCTCTGAGCTGTAGTTTGGATCACTCAGGTTGTTTAGCCTGGCTCGTAACGTAGCTGGTAACTAGCTTTCGGTCTGGCCCGCTCTGATGAGGAATGATGAGGCATTTAAGTAGCGTTTGGAATACCTTCATTTCCTTGATTGCAGCAAACACAACTCCTGCCCTTTCAACGCTTTTATGCCGCTTATCTAGACACTCTAGCATGTAGTTTTTCCATAACAGCAACAGCATGCGGTATCTTCTTACTCATAGACACATGAGCGAAATCTACTTCCCATAACACCTTGATGACTACGTCACACTCACAGGTTACCCACAAGACACCTGTCCTTAAAGGGGAAATCATAGCAAACATTAGCTAATGTTAGCAAATCTTAGACAGAGACTGATCTTGTCCCTCCACTCAGCCTCCAGTTGCTCCAGGGAAGCTTCTCCTTGTTGTAATGGGTAGCTACCAGCATTACACTGAGAAATTACTCCTGGTCTATCAGCTAACTTGCTTTACAGGCTGTTATTGTAGAGAGGAGATGTTTAACAGCTATTAAAACTGTAGCAGTTTAAAAAGCGTACATTGAAACAACTTTCAAAACACTTCATGAGCCACAGTGTGTTCTAAAGGGGCTTAAAAGCCCTGGGATTTCGGTGCCTGATTCAGACGGAGGAGATTTTTTTTTTTGATAGAATATTTAAAAAGATGGAAAACAGATTTTCAGTAAGTGACATGAGACATGAGTGCGTTACTTTTTCTTTTAAATATGCCAATTGCCGTGCTGTGCTGTCACCTATCACAATAACAGCTCATAGCCATGAACGACATCTGCTCGGCAATTGTATAATTCATGTCAAGCTACAATTACCCTCTGTCTCAGTCTTTCTCTGTGTCTCTCTCTCTCCTCTCTTACGCTCTCAGTGGGATTCCAGGGAAGAAGTGTGGAGTCATTATCTTTACTGCAGAGGAGCTCAGTAACTGCAGGGTCAGTACACGTACACACACACACACACACACACACACAAAGAAAAACAAACAAACATGCACACACGGTGTTTCTGGAGTATTATCATATTGTCTGCATTTTTTATTCGCCCTGATTCTGTTGTTGTAACACCTTGCAATCTTCTCCTCCCCGACACACTAACACACCTACACACAGACATGCATATACACAGATACACAGGAAATATTTAGTGATGGGCCAATCTATCAAAAGTAGATCATGAAATGTTACCGACGTGCAAGAGTTTAACCTGTTAATCGCTTCATCTGGACCCCCCAACCTCAGGTTTTATTTTCTTCAGTGTTCATCACTGATAAACTCTGATGTTGTGTTACCCACACCTCTCCACAGTTGTATAAATGTGTTTAAAATGAACTGTCAAGATGGTTTCCTGCTATGAAGTGAATGATTTTTCTCTTCCAATTTTCCATTCCCCTGACATAATGATACATTAATACCAACTAGGCAGCCAGATACTAACAGAATTTTGTGTTCGTTTGTGTGTGTGTGTGTGTGTGTGTGTGTGTGTGTGTGTGTGTGTGTGTGTGTGTGTGTGTGTGGCTGCTCCAAAGACCATTATGTTAACAGGCTTATCTTGGTTGTGTTTACCATCGCTGCTCTGGGAGGTTTTGCTCCTGACAAGATCCAAATGTTCTTCAGAAATTTTGATAAGTGTGTGTGTGTGTGAGTGTATGAGTGTATGGTATGGGTTTTTTTCTGGCTGACAACCCCTATCTGTCAATGACAAGCTTAGCTTCCCATGATGCCTTCCCACTTGAGGCAATAACTGAAAGGCCTCATTATCTATCTATCTATCTATCTATCTATCTATCTATCTATCTATCTATCTATCTATCTATCTATCTATCTATCTATCTATCTATCTGTCTATCTATCTATCTATCGCAGCAGGAGTAACACAGCTCCTCATTAACTGCTGTAACCATCCATACATATGTATGAAGCCATTCCCACTGCCTCTCGACTACATTACAGACATCCCATAATAAAAATCATCTCCCACTAATAAAGTGTGTAATTTAAATGAAACACAGGATTGCAATCACTGTAATGTATGTGTGCACTTGTTATTAAGCCGTTCTGACTGCCGCTGTTTGGGATCCTTATCCACATTTGCATCACCATTATTCATTCAGTTTTTACACAGCCAATTACTTTGTATTCACAGGGAGTCTTGTCTTGTAATTCTTGCACCCGAATTTCCCTCAAAAAAACCTTGCACTTTTGTCACCAAGAAATGAATTTCTAAAAATACCAAAAAAGTTGCTGACTTAGAGATGAAATTGCATCAGAATGATTACATTGATGTTCACCAACTAAAACTGCTTGTCTTTCTCTCAGGATATTGCTACTATGCAGTTGTGTGCCAACAAGTTGGATAAGAAAGACTTTTTTGGCAAGTCTGACCCCTTCCTGGTTTTCTACCGCAGCAATGAGGATGGAACGTGAGTTTGAGCGTTCGTGATGGGGCTCAGATATTCAACTTTGTCTTGCATATGAACAGAGAATGTGCTGTGAACAGATCAGAACACATCTGATGTTATTTTTACCTCATTATCTGATATTGAAGCGTGATGCCGGGGCACATCTCAAAAGTGCAAAATAGCCAAAAGAGCTTTTTGTTTCCTTTTCTTTTGTAGACACTTGGAACCGTCTTGACCTTCTTCTATTGTTTACATAACCTCATGCTTAAAGATAATCATGCAATGTGATGAAATGCAATGTCTTACTGTTAAAACCACCTGTTCTACTTCCATATTCATAAACAGTAACACAGTGTTCATTCAGACTCAATTAAGGCTACATCCAAACTACTACCTTTTAGTTTTAAAACGCATCACGTTTGCTACATTTACACCTAGCGTCCACACTACTACTCCATAGTTTTTGAGCCTCTAAAACTTTTAGAAACGCTGCTGGCCCCATTTTAGTTTGAAAACTCCAGGGTTGTGTTTTAGTCTGGATTGGCAGAAACTCAGACCTTTGGAAACGATGACGTGGACCCCCACGGTCACTCTGTGATTGGATCTTATCAGCCTCGACTACCAGTGGGGAAAGCAACATAGGAAACAAGTTACTGACCATGTTGCTGCAACAGGCTGCCACTACAAAATGACTATTACCGTGGGCTTTTAGATTTATGTTCAGGTGTAATATTAGTTTTTTACTATGTAATATTATTTTGTGTATTTTGTGGGCAGCTGAACCTATACACATCCCTATGAGGATATAAATGATAGTAAAAAACAACCTAGCAATTTCTATCTAGCCAGTAGCTTAGCATTGCACCCCTAACTCTGAAAAGTTATTATTATGAGCATGTAATATATGTATCAATAGATTTCACTCTTGTCTTTTAGGCAGTTGTGGTCATTCTCAAAGAGATCACCCTGACAAAAAATAATCTCAGTACAAAACCACCATATGGTTACTTCCTGTCTTCAGAAGTAGTTTGGAAGTCCAACAATGTAATATATCCCCGAGAGCTCTATGTCCTTAATTCCTGAGCACAATAAGTGCATTATTTTATTACATAATTGATAACTGATGGTGGCACTGTCACTGTAAGGTAATGCTGATGAGAGCACTGAACCCTCAGTGCATCCTCTTGTGCGTCACAGGAGAAAGCAGCTGCAGCAGATGTGGTGGCAGTTCTTATGAAAGTAAAATGAGACACCTCTGAAAATCAAGAACAGTGTATAACCACTGCACTGGAAGAAGAAAGGTTTAGAAAAGTGTGTAATGAGAACTTTGAAGGTGAAAACTACATATATCCACCCAAGTAATATAAGTTGTCACATCTGGTCCTCATCTCAATTGTTTTCCTGTATAAATCGACTTTTTTTTTTTTTTTTGAATCAAGCGACATTTGAGGCTTATCTCAATCTTTAAAGATTATTACATTCTTCCACTGCTCTGCCTTGGGGAGATGTTTGTAGCAACGAAACTCCCATCTGCAATTCTGTCATGTCCCCCAGATATACTTAAGCACATATAAAAACACACAGCATTTTGAGTTGCAGAGAAAGCTGGATATAGTGGGTGAGGGATTATCTTCATAGGTACAATCTGAGCAATATGAGTGTGCTCTCTCTCTCTCTCTCTCTCTCTCTCTCTCTTTTGTGGCCTTAAAACTGTTATTTTGCCGGCAGGTTCACCATCTGCCATAAGACAGAGGTGATCAAGAACACGCTGAACCCGGTGTGGCAGCCTTTCACCATCCCTGTCAGAGCTCTCTGCAACGGAGACTACGACAGGTCAGAAAACATTTTGCACCACTCTATTATGCATTCAAATGGATAGCGAATGAAATGTCATCCTGAGGGAACTAATTTCTTCCTCGACACTGAAAAAACCCGTAGGTGAAACGTTGCGAGGATGTTGATAGGCCACCTGATTTTCACCGCTGTTTACATAAGCGGCAGAAACTCCTCTGCCCTGGAACAGCTTCTCTCTGATTAGATGAAGTAGGGGAACACTTAAGAACCAATAAGGCCCAGGCAGGCTCTTTTACGAATGACATCACCTGTTGCTGGGGCGGTCAGAATAATGCCAGCAGTCGGTCATGATGTCCCAGGGACCAGCACTGGTGTTATTGAGACTGACTCAGTTTTTCACACAGCACTGTTTTATATATTCAACGTCAGGCTGGACTGTGCGAAGAGGCTGTGATAGCCACATGCTGTCAAGGTACACACTGTTTACAGATGTGCATGCATTACCAGGCTTGCAGTAACAGCAACTATTATCCTCCTACTTATCCTTGTGATCTTGTATAGGTTTTTGTGAACTATCATCCCTCTGAATCTTTTTGCTTATCTTTTCCCAAGAGTTGCATATCTTAAAGGATTAGATTTCAATTTACACATTTCAGGAAAAAGGCTTATTTACCTTCTTAAAGAGAGTCACATGAGAAGATCAATACCACTCTTATGAATGTTAAATGTGAAGCTTCAGCCAAGAGAGGTTTAGCCTAACTCAGCAAAACGACTGGAAGCAGCAGGAAACAGGTAGCCGGGCTCTGTCCAAGGTCATCATTGTGCCTGACAAAGACACAGTCCACCACAAAAAACAACTTGTCTTATTTACAATTCGGTTTTTGTACGGATTAAACACACAGTATGAAACTTCTGCCACTGGAGGTTTCTAATTTAACTAATGTTACTCAAAGAGGACTAACTGGTGTGTTTGTTGGGGAACAGTTTCTAACTACAGACGCTCATTTGGTGCACTTGTAAGTAGTACTGGGTATTTGTACAACAGCCTTTGGACAACAATGGAGATCTGAGGCACAGAGGAATAAGCAACTGCATATAAAGGCTTTGGAGACACAGACAGTACTTGTTAGTATTCATCCATTGTTACTTTTGGTCTCGTCATGGGATTTGTCCACAAGAAAAATGTTGAATATTGTCAGCAGTTCTTTAAGATAGAGGCACTTTAAAGCACTGTTGAGAGGAAACATTGTCATAGGAAGCAACAAGGAAAGAGGTAAAGGTTCATTATCACTAGCGTTATTAGTTGTTTATTATTATTAGTAGTAGTAATAGTGGAAGAATTATTATTAAGGTGTGTTCAGACAGGAAATGAAATGAACTTGAGAGACAACAAACAAAGAAAGGAAAGATGGAAGTAAGTGCAGATAAATGAAGTGAACTGAGACAAAGACATGATCAAGTGAGTAAAAAATTTGAAGAATCTGCGCTTACCCTAAAGTTTTATGATTAAGTGCACAAACAAGGAAAAATAAGAGACTTTCCTAGTGAGTTCTGAGATCTTCCAGAGTCAGAGCTGAACACAAACACACTGAGAGCCAGTGAATGTGTCACTAACTAGCTTACAGTTAATGTGTGGACCAGTGGATCGCAGTTCTATCCGTGGGCACTGCGATTAATCTGCAGATTGGGAGGGTCGGGTCATAAAAATGAACATTATGATGAACAGCAGATGGGATGCAGGTGGGTGAAATAATATATAATGTTTGAGGAAAATATAAATTACACTCTAAAATGTGAACATATTTTGAGCTTCATTTTTCATCAGGCACGAATTAGACTCTGCTGAACTTGTCATGATTTATTATTATTATTATTATTATTATTATTATTATTGGGCAGTGGCCAAATGTTATTATGAGCTTTTAAATAGTTTGTGTTCGGGAAGTAGCAGTGACATTCAGGATTTAAATGTCAGCCTGTGTTCGGGCTATTGTGGAAATAAGTCTGTTTATTTAAAACCAGCCTCACATGTTACCATCTTATCATGCGTCCCCTGAGAAATAAGGGTAATGTGTTCAATCAGTTGTGGGTCTCTAAATCGCAAATGCAAAAATATTAATTTGGGTGGATGTCGGGTGAATCGTGCATCACATGTGGACAGTCAGTACATTGGCTGATGGTGGCAAATAAACACAAAATGTACAAACTGCCCAGCTGCCAAAATCATGGGAATAATGAAAGTCCAAAATTCACTTCACTTTCTGTCCAAGCACACCCTCACAGTGAAGACCCACTGGGATTGAAAACGGGATTGACATCATATGACATTGCCTCTGTCACTTCTCACTGGTCGCTTGCAGAGTGAGTTGGTTTCTCATTAGGAAACATTGTGTAAATTAGTCTGTGACTTTCTCCACCAATTTATGTGACTTTGTGCCAAGCAGCACTTCATTTCTGCTTGTATCTGGAATCTTGGAGGTAAGGGACAAACTAAAAATCAATCCCAGAAACTCCAGTAATTATCTTCTTCTTCACAGACATGTATCCGCAGCAGGTAAAGGTTAAACTTTCAGTTGTTTGGCAAAACACTGCAGAGCCTTTTAGGCAAATGCACCCTCATTTGCATTAAGTATTTTATTTGGATTACAAAGCCATTCACTTGTGTCTGAAATGAAACAAGGGCAAACTTTGTTGGTCCTTACACTAAGAGTTTTGTGTAACAGCCTGACTGCCACTCCCTCACTATATGCTAATACCAAATAAAGTTTAATTCATATAACAGAGCCCAACATGCAGTGTACCTGGCTCTTCACATATGGCTGGTGTTATACATTCATGCTACTGGCACTTATTCACCTCCTCTCCTTGATGTGAAATTGACATTTTCAGGCTGGAAACTAGTTGGAGCGTAGAAGAGATAGGTAGGCCCTGTAATTCAGAGTTCACGTAACGACCTGTACCCACTGCACTAATAATGTTCTTCAGTGTTGAATCAGAAAATGTGTAATTGCTCTGTTCCCGATGTGATGGCGAGAAAAAGGGTTTTTCTTTAATTAAATTGAACTTCAAGTTCTCATTTTATTGACAGCAGATGATCTGGTGAAGAGCAGATGTTCAGAAATAAGATGTTCTCTGTCTATTTCAGGACTGTGAAGGTAGACGTCTATGATTGGGATCGAGATGGAAGGTAAATGCATCTATGGATAACGACTCACTCTAGCCTCATGATCCGCAAAGATGTCTCCCCGGTGTTAGGAGGAAATTAAATGGCTTGTGTACATTCTTGTGGGTGAGGATTTGAAGAGTTTTGACAAAGTGTGCTTCAAAGGGAGAGTGATCGGGCAGATCGAATGGAAGATTGACAGGCAGGGAGAGAGGGAGAAAGAGACGTGGATAGAGACAAAGACATGACAATTTATCTCAGATTAAAATAAAAATCTGTGCTCATGCTCCTCGTTCTGTGTGGGTGTTGTTTGTCTGCAGCCATGACTTCATTGGTGAGTTCACCACCAGCTACAGAGAGCTGTCTCGGGGGCAGAACCAATTCAATGTCTACGAGGTGAGACACGGCATGGGGGTGGTTTGTTTCTTACCGCTTTCATCACCTTGTAACTCCAATTTAGGTGATTTTGATATTTTGACTTCTGCTGTTTGGCTCTACAACCCTCGTAAGAGCTTATACAACCTTTTCGAAATGGAAGGATTGAAATAGATATAATAGCTGATAAACATAGGTGCTCTCAAAGTAAAAAAGCTTTAATTCTTTCCCCTGACACCAAAATTATACAACCCTCAGCTGAATGGATGGTTTCACAAACAGCTCGAACAGAAAACATTTTCCTGCGGCTGTGCATGACTCATCAAACGCTGACAACCAGTGTGCTGTTAAGTCTGTATTCCACACTGAAGAAGAAAGCTACCAAGCTAGGCTAACTAGCTTCAAACTAGCTGGTCAACGTTAGCACTAATTCCTGCTAGACGTTCATTTTTGTTCAGCAGCTCCCACACACTTGTGCCGTGTCGGAGGTCAAGCTAGCGTCAGCTGTGTGACTTTCATGGGTCCAGATATGGTGACGGAAAAACCTAACTGTCAAAACTCAAGGCAAGGCCAGTTTATTTATATAGCATCATTCAGGCACAAGGCAATTCAAAGTGCTTCACAGAGGCATGGAAATACATTAAAAATAAAACATTGAAGTGACATTAAAATGGCATTTAAAAACTAATTTGAATAAATAAAAACAAAAAAATTTGAATAAGTCAAATCAAGATTGCATAATATCAGGTAGGAGATTTAGGACAGCATTTTAAAAGATGTTCTGCAGTGATAAAGACATTAAAAACCTTAAAGTTTTGAGCCCCGATTTAACTGAGCTGACAGTTCCAAGTAGATCGGGAATATGTTTGGGCCCAAGATAATTTAGTCTTTTAGACAATAGTATTTTTAAATCTATTCATTGACACACAGGAAGCCAGTGTAGTGATTAAAGGACTGCAACAGGTGGTGCTGTACCCAGCACCCATTGTCTGAATCATGTGAAGTAAGGTGTGCTATAATCACAGATGGGGCTAAGAAACGGCTTTAAAGCTGCTGCAGATACTACTGTTGCTTAAACTGTATATATGTATAGAACAAAGAAGGAAAATAATAATTTAGCAGCAAGAACTTATTATTTGTTGTGTTGAAAACATAATAAAACACATATCAGCCCCATTAGTTATTTTACTCATGAACAGTTAACTCCATGAATACACACAGCTTAATAATACCTTTGCTCCAAGTAAACAAATTAATAACACCATTGCAGTAAAAACATCTGTTCTGTTTACTAATCACATTTGTAATGATAAATGGATGGATGGATGGTTTAATCTCCTCACTTCCCAATCTCCATTTTTATCTTCTCTGCTTTCTCTATATACACAAAGTTAAACATAATATCAGTTTCAATTCACGGGCTGTCACTATTATCAGGGATCTGCTGAATTATTCATGTTCATTATTAACCATCATTCCAGGCTGTGAAGTGGTTTTACAAGTACCTTCTTCATCATTAACTTACTTTTTCATCATTCTGGCAGGTTTTAAATCCCAAGAAGAAAGGCAAGAAGAAGAAATACATCAATTCTGGGACTGTGAGTACACCTCCTCTCCCATATCTGCCTGTCATTTCTTCTGCTTTGGCATTTATACATGTATATAGGTATATATATATATATATATATATATAGGTATCATCACCTCTTACATCTGCCTCTCTCTTACTGGATCTTCTACTGCCTGGCCACCTGTTTGTCATTTTTCCTTCCTGTCTACCTGGCCCCGGTCCCTCTCCCAACCCTCCCTCTTTGTGTGTGTGTGTGTGTGTGTGTGTGTGTGTGTGTGTGTGTGTGTGTGTGTGTGTGTTTGTGTGTGTGTGTGTTTGTCAGGTAACTCTCCTGTCCTTCAAAGTGGAGTCCGAGTATACCTTTGTGGATTTCATCCGAGGAGGGTGAGTGGAATAATAATTAGCCTCCTCTCACAGTGAGTGTCAATGGCAACCATTTTGGTTGTTTATGTCTTTGTGATTGAGTTTGTGTGTGTGTGTGTGTGTGTGTGTGTGTGTGTGTGTGTGTGTGTGTGTGTGTGTGTGTGTGTGTGTGTGTGTATTTGAAGTTGAAGATACAAGATTGAATTTCCCAATAGTTCCTTTGTAAGCATCACGTTCAATTCATATTGGCTCTGAAAGTTTTGGCGGAGTTTGAATTGGTAAATCTCGCGTGTAAATTTACCTAATTTATGCAGTTCACTTTTAATTACTGGTTCCATTTGTTTTACCTAATTAGACGTTCAAGATGGTGAAGGGAATATTGTCCCAGCATATTAATTAGCCAGCGAACCAGTAGACCGGTTGTATAGCAGTGCATTGTGCTGGTGTACATGAGTGTTATAGAGACACAGTGTGTATGAAGTATACTGAAGTGTGTGACGCTCTTTGTTGTTTTCCTCTTTGATTCCCACTTCATTTGCAACAGAACCCAGCTGAACTTCACAGTGGCTATAGATTTCACAGCATCCAATGGTAAGTCACTGAAGACAAGATGTTCACTTGCAAGTATTTTCTTTACTGTGGTGTTTATGTGTGTATAAGGCTGTAACTCTTCACTGCCTTCCAGCCATTGCATCAAAACACCTATAGTACAGATGTGATCTCCCCAACCCTTTCAAAACCACTTCAAACGTGACACGAGGACCTCGCAGCTTGCAGAGCACCCAAATGAACTGACAGTGATGAATCAGTTGTCTTACATAAGCAACAGTAAAGGAGAAGTTTGACAGTTTGATGTTTTTTTGTTGGTGTGCCTACATCATTGACAACTACTTGATGGATTGCCATGAAATTTACACCTTGTTGCATCAGTGTACAAATCGAACAAAACGAACAAGATACAACCTGCTTAATAGTAAAAAACTAAGCTGATCGCCTGCTAGCTCTACCTTCTTGTTTAGTCTCAATTAACTCTTGACAACAAAGTAAATAAGTATATTTTTTTCTTAATGTTAAATCATTTATTTTTTACCAAATAAATTAGTCATTTTTTCCAATCTTGTAGTTTTTAAGTTGCTATTAGCTAAATCTGGGATTTATTGTTTCTCTCTTTTTTTTGTATGATGACGAAATTTACAATAGTAGATACAATCTAGCAGCCATTGTAAGCAGACGATAGTACATTATTTATACTGATGTCATGTGAAAATAAGCTCTAAAATCTGTAAGTCCTAATACACAATGCCCATATGCACAAATATTATTTTTGAACTGCTGTTATTTTTTTAAGATTATTGAAGGTAATTAGTTGTAAGTAACTAAGTACTTGGTTGACCATGTAATATAATTGGTTCTACAAACATTAAGAAGCCAGACTGATTATTGTTGCTCAGGAGATGGAGGACCTCCAACGTGACTACCGTACAATGTGTAATGCACCTTTACTCCAGTTTAGTTAGTGTGCCCTACAAATGTATCGCTACATGTATTCTTCTCTCCGAAACTATTAAAATGACACAAATGGAGTTTTGTGTTTTCAGGTATTACAGACAGGAAAGAGTATAATGCTTCAGTGTGAAAGGCACTTGTCCCTTTTCCCCTCTGCATGTAACATGCCCTTTCTTTTCTCGCACGTGTGAGGGCTGGCACACCGCTGTCTTGAATAGATTGTTACATTTAGGCTCTTATTTTCACATGGCGGAAGTGCAGTCAGCCGTGCAAGGTGCACAGGGCGTGGTGAATGTGTTTGGTATTTTCGTGGCTAGAGGCACGCGGTACACCTGTGGCGCGGTTGGAAGTCAGATGGGATTGGGGGGGGATACATTACCAGTAGGTGTGTTGAGAGCAGGCGCCTATCGTGGCTAATCAAATCATCCCCCTCCCTTTTCATCCCCTTAAAGAGCAGGGCGCTCGTTTCATCATGGAGGAGCGAGTCCAGACGAGCTTATGCCAAGAGGAGAGGACAGTATCACCCGGCTGCGTTTTCACATGTGCAGCTGCTAATAATCAATTCAATCTAAGACATTTACTTGATTGCATAAACTGATAACTCCCCTAAATAATCCTGTTATAATCCTATTTACACAATTCTTTGATTTAAAAAAAAGAAAAAAAGGATCATGTTTTCTTTCCTGAAACAGATCAGATCAGATTTTACAGCCATAATTCTTCACATAGTTCATCGCATCCATAGCGTATCTCTATACAATAAAAACACTCAGGAGATAAAGCACACAGTGTTTTCTTGGCATCAGTCATCTTCTATTTCCACCGGTGTTACAGTGTTCCTTTTATTTCACAGGTGTAAACCAGACAGAAGGAAAGAGGGAGACATATCATCAGCCATGTCACCGTCTTATACGTGTGTGTGTGTGTGTGTGTGCGCGTGTGTGTGTGTCTGTGTGTGTGTCTTCTAAGGTAACCCGTCCCAGCCCACCTCGCTCCACTATATGAGTCCCTACCAGATGAATGCATATGCCATGGCCCTGAAAGCAGTGGGTGAGATTATCCAGGACTACGACAGCGACAAGCTCTTTCCTGCCTATGGCTTCGGAGCTAAGCTGCCCCCTGACGGCAAAATCTCCCATGCATTTCCACTGGTAAGACACACCCACACACACACACACACACACACACACACAAACATACGAACTCACATATACAAGACACACATGCACGGTTCAATCATAGCAGGGTGTGGTTTGGACCAGGAGTTGTCGCTGCGACAACAGCTGGTCACGCAAGTTGAGAAGCTGGCTCATCTGTCTGCCAGCAGGACTCCCCCAGCAGCACGTCCCACCCGTCCTCCTTGCATCTTCCTGAGGGAAGAGGGCAACCAGTCAGAAACCGCTGGATGCTAAGCTTGAAGTGAAGCCAAGTCTGTACTTAGGTTATCAAAATCAGGATTAATCTGGTATATGTGTTAAATGTGATCACCTTTTACAGTGCTGCTTATTTTAATGTGAATAAATGGTGGTGATAGAAATAAATAGGGAGTAAATAGTGATAATGTAACAAGTTAACAATTGGCTTTGGAGTTTTCATTATCACAAAGTTTTGTCTCAATTCACCATTCCCCAGTTTATCCTTGAGGCCTTAAACTGATAGTTCAGGTTATTTGATGTGGGGTTGTGTGAGGTACTTATCAATAGTCAGTGTATTACCTGCAGTAGATTCGGATCAGTGTGTTCCCAGTTTAGAGAAGCAGCAGGAACACGGGCTCAGAAGCCAAGTGATTTGCTGCTGTGGACTGGGATATCCACAAAGCGTGTTTTTGCCACTTAAAGACATGCTAACAAAAAAAAAAACCCAATATCAGTTAAAGTGCTCGCTATATTTTAGATATTTTCACAGCTTTATCTTGCCTTCAAACCGCCCTTCCCTTTGGAACTACAGTTTGTGAATCATCAAACTACCGTATTCCTATGCACAAGCGCACTTATGGCAGGCACTTTATTGCTCCGCAGATCAGCTGTTTGAGTCAGACAAAGCTAAGTAATAGTTGCGCTTGTGCATGTAGTTCAATGGTAGCATGGACTTGGACATCACTTAGCTTCTGGGCCTGTGCTCCTGGCTGCTTCTCTAATCTGACGGTGCGCTGATCTCAATCTACTCTAGGTAATACACTGACTATAGATAGCTACCTCACACAGTAAATAACCTTCTCACTTTAAGGCCAAACAACAGCCACTTCCTACCTTATAACAGATTTGCAAAACAATTTTTTCCAGTGTTTTTGAAACCAGAGATGCATTGTCTCCTTCTTTGAACCCTGATGTTGTCATTACAAACTGTGGGGCATGGAGTTCAGTGTATGTATTCGATAGGGAGGATGTAACAAATGACGGTATCATTGCTTAATTGCATTATGGGAACTGTTTTTGGAGCTTGTCCATAATAGGGACTACATGTAAGGATATCTCTGCCTCTTCTGCTTCAACTTCTAATTTTATATTTTTTATTTTTTTTATATAAACCTTGTAAGTCCTCTAACTTCATGGAAGTGCAGCATTATACCAGTGGAGTGCCCCTTTAAAAAAAACTCCACTTTACCCTTGAACTTTTTTTATATAATAGATTGATTGAGTCTTAAAAAATGCCTCCTAGTGCTCTTAGTCCCTCTACGTGACCTACTCTGAACTTCCATGAACTTCCTAATGTACTTTGTTGCCTGAATTCACCAATAGTATGAGACAGTTATTTATTTATTGCCCTCTGAAGACTTCATACGCCCACAAGTGAACTGAAGTTAAAATGTACCCAGAACATTTCATAAGATATTGAGGGACATTTATTTTGGAGTAAGGTCTTAAATTTCCTGAAACTAGATCAGATTAAATCTTATCACAGCTAACAGCAGCATTTTTAACACATGTTTAACTATCTTTTATTGAAGGAATAATGGAAATATGTCCACATGTGGCCTTTCATCATTTAGTGTTGATTGTGAAAAAATGTCATTTTTTAAAATGTCATTTCATATGCCAGTGACTCAGCTATTAGTGGACCTGTTTATTGTACTGCTTGTACACCAGTATATGTGTGAATGGACGCTGTATGTCGTCTGTTGCAGAGTGCTGACAGTGAGAATCCAAACTGTGTGGGAATAGAGGGCGTTCTCGAGGCCTATTTCCAGAGCCTGAGGACGGTGCAGCTGTATGGACCCACCAACTTTGCACCTGTTATCAACAAAGTGGCAAAGTAAGTTTTTCACTTCATATAGATTAAGATGCAGTTACACCTTTTAGAGTAAGCTTGGTAAAGTGATCCTATTTTGCTTTCTTTTATCCAAACCCAGGGGATTTTTTTTGTATTTATAAGCCTTGATCAAAGCCTATAAGTAACATAAATCACAAGAAGCTTTTTCACCACATTGAGAATTTCTTGGGGGGCAAATCAGCATGTGCAGGATTAAGCATCCTGTCACCTGAGAGTTGGTTTCTTTCTGCCACAAAGTTTGGCAACAAGTAAGCAAGTGATATTTGAACAGAAACAGAAGTTATTTTACAGAAAAAAGAGTGAATTTTTGTGTATTTAATTTCAAATTCAGAATGTAGAAGCTAAGTTTATGTTGCACAGGAAGCAAATTGTCAGAATACATCTGCATTTTCCTTCTTTGATATTACTTTCGACATTAAACCACTGGGTTTTGAATTTTTAAAATGTTCTTAACTAAAGGCTTTCACACATGAAAATATATATTTACAGTGATTTAGAACGGCAAACATAGACTTTAATGAAAAAGGCACAAAAATAAGACTTTTAATTAAAGATTGCATTATGGATGGTGTGGTACAGCTTCTGTGATCTTTAGGACTTTGGATTTACAAATATAAACATAAACACTTCATGTTCTGTCTGCTTCTGTAATTCCATTGGGTCCTGACCTAAACCAGATTTGCATCACTGAGACCTGCTGATTTCGACGGTGACTGGCCTCCATATATTTAAGCACTTTAAAGAGGCCAGTATACGTCATCAGAATTGTTTCAGATGGTCAGATAGCTTTAAAACCCCCCACCCCACCTTTCTGACGTCATATTCGGGGGTATATGTATAAACACTTGTGATTTCCAATGTGTTCGGACAACACATCATACAAACCAGTTCCTTTCTGGTACAACCTGTTCCTAACTCTTTTTGCTTCTTGAGTTTTGGTGGAAAGGACATGATTAGAAGAACAATCAGAACCATAACCAGCCACCAGTCCTCATCGTCCGACTCTGTTAGTCTATGGGCATTCAGCATTGAGTCAATGGCCAGTTAAGACCTCTGGAAATACCTCACTGATATCTTCATAGCATTAATAAAAGGATGCTGCTGGCACAGGTAATCCCATGTCTTTAACATAGGTTAACCTGGTTGGCCAGAATAGTGTTAATGTTTTGTCTTACAGGTCAATGTACTGAATTATCAGTACTCTTTTTTTTTTTTTATCCCTCACTGTGTTTAACAGAGCAAGAGGTATAGAGGTCGCATAGAGATCACTCAAACACACACACACACACACACACACACACACACACACACAGGATCATTCTAACATGAGGCTAAAATCCCATACACATACACATACTGTAGATATACATACAGACACAGACTGTGTTCAGCCAGGGAGAACAGCAAAATCTCTGGCATTAGGTTCTGTCAACTGAGAATGAATACACTAAACAGCAGCTGAAAGACACACACACACACACACACACACACCACACACACACACACACACACACACACATACACTCACACACCTACGAGCTGAAACTCTTCCTAACTCATCTGGCATCATATCAAGCTGGAGCTGATATTCGAGAATGTGAATATATCCATTTGTTTTTCTTAGCAAACCCCATGTTGGAAAAGGAAATGAAGAGCAGTGAAAAAACAAAAAGCAGGGTCACATTATTTTCTCTTCATGCAATGTTGTTTGCTACTTGTTATTTCTGAAGGGTCCCTCTGTTGCTCAAGGTTGTAGTTTTTGGTGGTAAACAACTCAGGTCTGGTGTGGAAGCAGCAGCCTAGAACAAAGGGGTTGCCATGGTGTGTGGAAGAGGGTCTAATTCATTTTAATGGAGTTTTTATATTAAAGTCCTCTAATGGGGTCGTCTCTGAGGGGAGGTATAACGACCTATTGTATATGGTCATTCAGGTTGGAGGACTTGTTGTTGAACCTTAATTTCATAAATAAGAATAAGCACTGAATAATAACATCTGTGTTCATTAACAAACATCATCATCATGTAAATATTTAGGATATCAAAAGGCATTGTATTTGTTACATGTAGTTTCAGTGGAACAAACTCAAATTTTCTCATTTGAAAAGTACATGTTGATTGTCACATATGAATTTGTTTGTTCCACGTCCTTAAAAAAAGCCTGCCTGAAAAGGTCAAATCACACATGCCTTTTTGTTACAGTAATGGTTTTTTATATTTGGTAGATTTTCCACATTGTTTTGTGACACCTATTTAAAATCTGTCAAATCAAACAGACTGCTCCCAAATGAAATATCTTTTTTTTCATATGTGGTGCCAGAAACTTTACATTTCACATTTAAAAACCAACATGTGCATTAGTCACATGTGTACTGAAATCCCATGTAAATTTTTATGTGAATTGTGGGGTACCCAGCCTAAACGTAGCACTAGGGAACATGAAAATAAAAATGATAAAATATAGTCTAAAGCAAAATTTAAGGGAAAATAAAATGTGTTATAGTAAGGTATTATAAGGAATGTCAAACTATCTCAGGTAACACTGCTTGGTTGGGGTTGCTGAAAGAGGCAAATAAAGAGGCAAAGCTGCTAATGCTACCCGCCGTTATCCTTTAATAGGAGCCTTCCGTAGTGTTTGTGGGTTATGGTTAGAGGCCGCAGAGATTACTGGTTGGGGTTAGTGGATGTTTGACTGTGTAATATGACTTTTAATAATGTGACCTGCAATCCGACTAAATAATGTAGTTAGTGCTGATGTGCCCTGTGGCTTTGGAAATAACACCAGGTTACTATTGTCTGTAGTAAACTAGTTTACCAGCCATGCATTTGACATTAAGGCAAAGAAACCTGCTTTTTAATCCATGCCTTACACGTCATCTGTTGTGTTGTGGTTCTGTTATGGTGTAATTACTATACCAATTACTTATTTTTCTTGAGCCTTTTGCACAATGTTTCAGCATGTGGAGAAATCCCGAAGCTTGACAGGCCTGCCAGAAAAATTATGCTGTAATTGGCCAGTTGCTGTTTAGGAGAGGAGTTTGACAAAGGATCAATAATGCAGAGAGAGATTACCAAGAAACACACAATTACCTGGAAGCCATATCTGAAATACATGTACATATATATATATATATATATATATACACAGTATATATACTGTATATACATAAACGATGTACGTTGTACTTTCAAAGCTTAAATTCAGCCTTGTAGACAGAATATTAGCCCTAACCCAGGTATCAATGTGTATGTTTGTTTGTGTGTGTGTGTGTGTGTGTGTGTGTGTGTGTGTGTGTGTGTGTGTGTGGGCGCGCGCACGTCCCCCAGCTGTGCAGCAGAGATTACAGATGGCTCCCAGTACTTTGTCCTGTTGATGATCACAGATGGAGTGATATCTGACATGGTCCAGACCAAAGAGGCTGTGGTCAATGTGAGTACACACACACACACACACACACACACACACACACACAGCCAAGTCTCCATGACTTCAGAGGACATTAAATTGATTTATATTCATTTCCTGGAGACTTACTCTGACCTTAACTAAAACTATTTGCCCAACCCGAAACCTAAATCTAACCTCACTCTAACCGTAAAACATGTCTTCACCTTAGAATTAAATGATTTACATTATGAGGATTTCCATTTTGTCTCTATAAGGAAGACAAGTCCCCATATTGTGTTTGTCCTATGTCCTCCAATGTACGAATATTATTTGTTCTTTAACATTTCCTTTCAACAACAACAACAACAACAACAACAACAACAAAAAAGTTGAATAAAAATGGTCGCACTTCATTTTACGGTACATTAATAACAAGTCGTACTTTGTATCAACAGGTTTAGGTCCCCACAACATGAGTAATACCTGGACCACACACACACACACACACACACACACACACGCCTATGTAAACAAATGCACACAGGGACTGATGGATTGCGGTGCTTTTCCTGCAGTGACTGATGTGCGTCTCAGCATCCACTTTCCTTTTGTCAGTTATGTTTCTCAAGAATAATACTTTCTTTGATTTTTGAATACAAACAGCTGGACTTGTCGCTGCAATCAACATCCTGTGATCAATAAATACCTCAGAAAAAAACAACACAATCAGATTTTCTTTTCAAGACTCCAGTCAAGGGGAAGAAAAGACATCTTTGCTTTCATTGGGTCTCATATCACTTTCTAGAGAGGTCAATAGTTGTTATAGAAAACTGTCAAATTAACGTTTGAGAGGTCTGATCCAATTAGATCGGTGATTTCTCAGATCAGTGCAGAAAATGGAAAAGAAATTATTTGTTATTTTCTCTTTCCTAATAAGCTTACGTGTGCAGTGTAAAATGAACTCAGGTGAAGTCTCAGACATTTGCTTTATACCCTTTAAACAGAACTAATTTTTGCTGAGTTTTCTCCAGGTGAACAACTTTTGTTTTTGTGTCAAGCAGAGTTAAGGTTTGGAAAGTAAAAATAATGATGATGTCACATCAAGGCTACTGAGTCAGGTATTAATCTCACCTGTCAGATTAAAAATCTGCTCTTAATTAAAAAAAAAAAAAAAAAAAAAATCAACACTTTATTTTTACAAGACAATGCTCACTACGTCAAAATAATTTTATCTCTTGAAAGCTCTGTTGTTCACCCAAAGCTAGTTTGCATTATTTGATGTGGGGCTTTTTGAGGTACTTATCTATACTCAGCGCAGTAGGTTTGAATTCGTGCACTGCAAGTTTGGAAAAGTAGACATGAGTACCGACACAGAAGTGGAGCGATGTGCTCCTGTGGACGGGGTCAGCAGGAAAAATGTGTTTCAGCCACTTTAAAGGTCCCATAATTTACATTTTTACAGGACTTTATTTGAAATTGTGATATCCATAAGAAGATATTTTTGTGGTTTTTAGCTCCAAAAACCATCTCAGTGTAGTTTTACATCTTCTCTCTCAGGCTTCTCTCTGGAGCTGTAGTAACAGCAGGTGAGCCAATCAGAAGAGAGGAGCTCTGAGACTTTTGATTGGCTGACTGAGTGATCTGCAATTGAATAAAAATATAGCAGATTTCAGGTAAACCAAATCCTGCAAGGCTGGATGGTGGGTCCAGGTGAGCTGGGCTTGGGGGAGTGACTGCTTTGTTGTGACATCACAAAGTTACAGAAGTCCTGACGGCTCATTTTAAGGCTCAGGTTTATTTTGAATATTTTTACTGCTTTATCTTCTTATCAGGTAATACACTGACTATGGACAGGTACTTCACACAACCCCATGTCGAATAACCTGAACTATCACTTTAATGCATCTGAAAGATCTAACGAATTCATTGTCTTTCCTGTTTTCTCCCATACAGGCAGCATCACTCCCTATGTCCATCATCATCGTAGGTGTTGGGCCTGCTGAGTTTGATGGTGAGTGTTCACACTGACAGAGGAGACGAGGGTCTTACACTCAGTGCCAAGAAATCACTTTATTTACATAAGACAAACCCTTTTCAGTCGTCCGGCCTTCATCAGTGCCACGCTCACGTAGATGCCTCTTAAATAACAAGCACACAGGTGGAAATCAGTTACATAACAATCAATGACACCTCTGGGTGGCACAAAGAAGAAGGTGGAAACTGAAGCATCAGATTTCTTCACATATCAAATGTTTGTTGGCATTCATATATAGAAAACTGGCTTTAATAAAAAGACAGCTGCAGAGAAAAGAACGATACCAGTCCTTCTTTCACCTTCAAATGTACCTTTCATTGAGACATGTAGCTGAGCAGAATGATTGCCGACAAGAAGTGTGCATTGAATAAATTTGAAATGTAAACTGTTTTGATTAAATTCAATAACCTTGACGCTGCAAAGACATAAATACATAATGTTATATATGAAAGGCAGCTATCGACTTTGGCTTAGACTTTTAGCGGACTTGATGGGAGTCAGCAATGGGGAGTGGGCAAACAGGAAACCACTGTAGCAGCTGTATCGTAAGTGATTCGTCATACACACCGGGCTGCTGTTCCTTCTTCCTGGGAGAGTCGCTGGACAAAGTCAATGGGGTCAAGTGTGCAGGCATCTTACAGCCAACAGATGAATGAACGACCTTTCAGTGGGGACTGTGTGTGTGTGTGTGTGTGTGTGTGTGTGTGTGTGTGTGTGTGTGTGTGTGAGAGTGTGTGTGAGTGTGTTACCGCTCAGCAGCGTGTGACGAGCGTAGCGCCTCGTCATTGTGTGTGATGGTCTGTCATTTTCTACTTGTTTAAACAATCGAATGGTGAGACTGGTAGCGAAGGCACTCAGGCCTGTTTGGAGGTCACAAGGTCAAACTGGCTTAATAGCACCTGGTGACTGTATATGTGTGTGTGTGTGTGTGTGTGTGTGTGTACACCTTACTGAGAGGCCTAATTGCCTCTGTTTGTTATTTGCTCCATCTTGAGTCGGTGAACTCCATTTCTGAAAGCTACTAACATGTCATTTTCAGTCTTTGTGTTCGTCCTCATATTTTGTGGTTCTCTCTGAGTCCGTTTGCTGCTTTGACCTCACGTTGTGCTCAGCCACCTTTCCGTTGGCAGCGCCACACATCCATGCTGTTTTGTCCGGTTGCCAGAGTGGCTGCAGATGCAGGATATACGCTGTTGTGCAGGTGCTATTTTTTAAGACCTCTCAGAATAAAATTTCCATCAGAGGTGCAATTTGGGAGCAAGCACCTCCTCCTATATTTGGCCATAGTTGAAAAGGCTTTCTAAAAGCTGCTCCTGTAGCTGCACAGAATCGTTTTCCTTTTCTGACCTGTAGTGTAATTGTGCATCATTTTCGACTGAGGAATGACATTTTTGGTGCATAAAGCGTTCGAACCATTCTCCATTGAATACCTTCTCTCACTCCCATGCTGTGCTCCACTTGAGCAATTACGTTATGAAAATACAAAAGAACATCCTGTACCTTCTTTATATTCTCCCTTGGTGGTTCCAATATTGAGTCATACTCTCTCCACCATTGTCTTTCCTTTTAGCTATGGAGGAGCTGGATGGAGATGAGGTGAGAGTATCCTCCAGAGGACGGCTTGCTGAGAGAGACATTGTTCAGGTACTCATCATGATTCTTTTTAACTTCGCAGGTTAGACTTCAGCACATTTCTGTCAACAGCAACAGCATGGGGGAGTTCTCCCTGGAGGAGCGTGGCTTACTTTCATAACACACACTGTGGAACCTCCTCAAACAATATACAGCTCAATATCATCCACGGTGGGCCACTTCTCCTGCAGTGTCATGCTCATCATATGGTTTTGGTTGTGCTTGTCCACGCAGCTTGAACATCAATTCATCCAAGACAAAATCAGCCACGTTAGAGAGATTCATTTTAACCCATTTAATCCCAAATTTTTTATCATTCACCATTTCATTGTGTTTTCTAAAGTGAAGTTTGTATTGGGATTTTTACATTCATTAGTGTTGATGTGGATTGTGCAGATGTTTGTGTAGAATCAACTTTCCATCAAGTCCTCCAATGTACGAATATTATTAGTTCTTTATCATTTCCTTTCAACAACAACAACAAAAAAGTTGAATAAAAATGGTCGCACTTCATTTTACGGTACATTAATAACAAGTCGTACTTTGTATCAAATGTATCAAATTAAACAAAAGCTATAAATAATAAGATCTTTATTAGACAGTGACCAAACGCAGTCATACCCTAATTAGACACCATAGAAGTAAATTATGCTTTAATTGGAGACAGTATATAATTCTGTATTAGATCCAAAACACTATAACACCAAATTATAAACCAATTAGAAACCAAATAGAGATCCTGAAACACTATTACTCACCACTTAAGAAGATCATAGTTTAATTAGAAATCAAATACAATGCCATATCAGATCCAAAATATGCTACAGTTATACACCACAAATGAGACACCACATTTAATACGACCTATGATAGCTTCATTAGACAACACAGTGACATTAGACAAATATAATGTCATATTATATCATGCATATATTATTTGGCCTTTACTTAACCTAGTTTCACTTTCTTACAGAGTGATTTTTTTCCTCATTAGTAACTGTAACATAAAATTAAGTCAAAACACATCAGTTCACATCTGGATGCTCCTTCACCCGTCCTTCGTAGCCTGGATGTTGTCCAGAGTCCCACGGAGGTCGTGGGTAGTGATACTTAACTCTACTTCCATATGTCACTAGCTTTAGGCTGTGGAAGCTGCCAGGACTCTGCATCTTTATTTCCCACTGTTGTTACTCATTAAACTTTCTTAGAGGGTAATTTGCGACACATTACAACAGTTAGGTGAACTAAAGTGAAATCCATCAGCATTTTTTGGTTGTATTTACAGTGATTCATCAAAGTAGTTCCTCATTACTTCATCATTATATCACAATAAGAGTCAGCAGGTTTCCAAACAAGTCTTTTAATCATAATATTCAGGCCACATATATATCAATATTCACATCCACATTATTTTTCTGATGATTAGTCTGTCAAATATCTATTTGACATGAGGCAACTTATGGCTTATCCTTTGGAAGTAACCACACAGAACTCATATTTGTAGGCACATGGTATTTCATCCATCCTGGACTCAAAGTGATTCAAAGCGAGTGTGGTTTATAAGTCTGCATCGATGCAGAATCGCTGTTGAAACAATACTTAATGGGGCGGACCCTCCACACGAATGCACAAACGGACTGAGAGTGGGTAGGGCGAGGGTGTCATGGCAGGGCCTTGTGCCTTTGTGGGTCAGGAATAATGGGCCTTCACGAAATGCCAACTGACATGTCCTATTGCTTGAGGTTCTGAGTGGCATGTCAGCAGTCCAATAGAAAACCACAAAAAGAGCCACTGTCGAAAACTTACAGAAGAAACACAATCTCTCAAAACAAATGAAATAGATTTAAATAGCTTCTTTAATCAAGTTTTGCTACATAGCTGCTGACTGAACAGCTGTTTACCTGCCAGTCTAGAAGAAATGTGGCGAGTTCAACATCAAACTTCATTCCTTTACTCACCTAGAGCTGTTTCCAGCAGTGGAAAGCAACGCCAATGTTAAATTGTCCCTATCAAATTTTTTCTTCTACTGAAGTTAGCACGCTAACCAGCTAGCCCCGGTCCATCTCATCACTTTCCGATAGCGACTCACTGTAGCCTCCAATCTGCCTTGAAGTCGTAGCGCTGCTCAGAGGGCGTATTATAACCTCTTGTCTTGTAAATGCAACAATGGCTGAAGCTCTTGTCAAGCGACAATCACCACCACCTGCTCCCGACAAGAATCCATGCACAGCAGCAGAGTAAACTTTAAAATTGATGGCCACTACATAAATCTATCCTAGAGTTAAATTATCCAAGAGGCTCTTGTGTTTTCCTGCTGAGGAGTATCGGGGGCGGCGGGAGCTCCCACTGAATTATTTGAGCAGAAAATCTGCATCATGCCTCGGCTCTGCAAAGAGAATGTCAAAGCTCAAAGCTTCCAATATTGCCACGGGTAGATTTACACTGAAGTCACCACATTAAGTTAATGGCTACCGTGTAGTGTGGCAGTGTTAGTTTAATGTAGGTCAGAATATTTTTTTACCTTGGACAGGTTACAGCAGAAATATCTCTCCCACAGTTTAAACTATGATCTTGTAAAGTGGTGACTAATGGTGTGTTAGCATCTCCTCTTTGGTTTCTAATTAGAGTGTAATTCAGTGTAATTTTGTCTGATTTTCAATCTAATACAGAATTATAAGCAGGTTCTAATTACAGTAAGGTTTCTCATTATTGTATGACTGTGTTTGCTTACTGTCAAATGAGGAAAGTATTATTTCTAGTTTTTGTCTGATTTGACAAAGAACAGCTTGTTACATCTCATTGGTGGACTGTAAAATAAAATGTGACCAAAGAACCCATGAGACTTTCTGATCTGCCTCCTGGTTGAGGTTTAGTTCTTTTTCGGTCGCTGTCAAAAGGAGCAAAAATAAGTCAGATATTTGTCAACCTCCTTTTCCAAGAGATTTTGTGGCATCATGCTGGCTTTGCCTCTGAAATCAACAGTCCTGTTTTATGCAAATTATTATTTGCACGCAAGAGGATCCTCGGTGAGAAAAAGTAGGTCATGTTCAGAGTTTTTAACAAATGATCTGTGTGGTAGTTTTTCTGGTGTGAGCAGCCTCTGATTTTTCATTCAACAAATGGGAAATCTAACAGGAACACCAGCTTGTCACCTCAGAAGAATGATCCTTGATGATGAACTGCCAAAGTAAAGATAAAGAGCAGGAGGACAATAAGTTAGACACTGTTGTGGTAAGGACAGATGGCATTGTGGATGGGGCTGCGACAATTAATCGATCAACAGAAAAGGAAAAAGAGAAGAAAAATGTGAACATTTCTTCCATCTTTTTGTTTTGTTATAGTCAACTGGTTATGTCACCCTGGTCTCTGGAAAATTGTAAAACTCAAGGCTTTATCTGCTTAAAATTATGTTTATATCTATAATAATAATAATAACTTTATTTATATAGCCCAGTTTACAAAGAGCTTTGCTTTGACAATAAAGCAACAACAACATCACAACAGAAAGCCGGACAGTAAAGACCAAACATGAGCAAGAAGAAAGAAAAGACAAAAAATACAATATACTTCCATATAAATAAAAACAGTTGAGGAGAGTAGAACCAGTAAAAAAGCAATAAAAAACAACGAAACAACAATAAAAAGACAACTTCAGATAGAAGCGAGTCTATAAAAATGGGTTTTAAGAAGTGAATTAAAAGAAGTCACCAATTCTGCCTTATCTCCTCTGGCAGGTCCTTCCAAAGCCGAGGGGGTCCTGATGGCAAAAGCATGGACACCTTTAGATCTAAGCCTTGACTTTGGAAAGGCCAGTAGGACCTGACCTGAGGATCTAAGGCCGCGAGCTGGGTCATACGGGGTTAACAATTCTGTCATGTAGCTCTGGGCTCGACCCTGGCGTGCTTTAAAAGTGATCAATAAAATCTTAAAATCAATTCTAAAACGGACAGGGAGCCAGGATTGGGGTGATGCGATCTCGTCTGTTAAACCGGTGAGGAGCCGAGCTGCATTTAGAGATGTCAAGTCTTGAGAAGATAAATGCGTGAATGACTTTTTCTAGATCAGGGTGAGAGAGTATCAAGTATCTGTTGTGGATCTTTGTTCATCACATCCTCACTTCAAGGTGAACCCAGACTGTGGTCTTTGGATTATTTTTTTTTAAATAAATGTGCTAATAAACTCTTAAACAGTAAGTAATAAAGTAAATGTAAATCCTGTAAAATTATTAGCCGCTATTTAAAAAGCGGCTGAATAAATCAATAAACATTTTCTTCTCCCCACTGGACATTTTTCCATTATCATTTTTGTATTCAACAGCAGAGAGCGGCTCTTTCTTTAAACAGTTTAGCAGTGAGTTTTATTAAAAGTGAGCAGTAGCCCCATCAGGGACTGATAAAACCCGATCTGGCAACAGTAAACAGTAATTTTAGAAAAACCATTTAAAGATATGAGAACACAAATAGGAAGCAAAGAGTGTGGCCACTGATAACAATGCACTATTGAATTTTTGTATAGTGGTGCAGCGGAGTGGCAGGTCAGCTGGCAGCGCATTAGGAACAATGATAAATGAGCGCTTATAATGATAAATGTATAGTGTGTATATGTTGAGAGGAGACGTGTGAGTATAGAAGATTGCAAAAGTTTTATTCTAACAGTGTGACCATGGTTATTAAGATAAATAATGTTCTCATTTCAACATTGATATCACATTACGTGGCTTAAAGTAATTATCAATCGATACCAATATACTTAAAAGGTTTGACTGGATTGCTTTGTCTTGCTACTTTCAGTGAACACAGAGAAATGAACTGTTCTATAATATGACATTAAATAGTGCGTATGCAGTTGACCCCACACCAGGTTAATAGCTGTATTGATATTGCTATCATGTTGTCGCAGTCTTGTCTCTCTAACAGCAGTAATCACATTTGCATGCACACAGTAATCCTTTGATTGCCTTTAACCTTATTATGACAATAATTTAATCAGGATGTTTACACTTATAGCAGAGAAAAAAAAGAAAAAAAGAAAAAAGTTCAATCACTTTGTATTTTCATGCTCTGTTGTTGTTATTGATCAGATATGATGACTGGCTTCGCTGCAGCATCGATCATTTTCTTCCTGTGAGAAATTAAAGCCGTACTGCTCCGTTCATACTTATCCACCGTAAACTGATTATATTCAGTGGCCACCTGGCAGTCGTGGTTGTCTTGGTGCTGATGTACACTTTATTTACGTGTGAGCAGTTTGTGCAGGTGGAGGTGTGTGCCCGGAATTAATTACAGTATTCTTGCAATGCAGTTATGACTAATATGTGTGTTAAATATGTCTTGACTGCGATTGCAGTATCCATATCTAAATTTACATGTACAAAGTTTTAATAGTCCCCCTTTCTGGAGTGTGTTTGCAAGAGGTAGCATCCAAATGGACATGTTTCATGAGGGAATAGTTGGATATTTTGTTATACAGTGGACTGATCCCAATATTCTGTGGACTCAAAGACTTTGAGGTGTGTTTGCGTTAAGTCCATGAGGGCTGAGGTGTGTGTGAGGTCTCTCTCGCAGACGTTTGGAGCCCTTTATGCACACTTTCTGTAAGTCTGCACTTCTGCAGACTATGCCTGAGGGAATTTCCCACAGTTCATAATGTTATGATGTTAAAGTGATAGATCGGGTTATTTGACTTGGGGTTGTGTGAGGTATTTATCTATAGTCAGTGTGTTACCCGCAGTAGATTTGGATCGGTGCGCTCCCACTCAGAAATCCTGTGGACGGGGGCCATCCTTATTTTAGCCACTTTAAAAAAATGCTGGGATGGCAATTACACATCAGTTCCATGTCTAAATAAACGCAGTAGTCAGAGTTACATAAAACCAACTTGTTATCCAACACATATCCAACACAGCAACTGTATAACTGTCAACAGATTAACATAAAGGGTATAGCAACACAAGGTTAAATACACACAAACATGCAGTTTTTATTTTATCTCTTTAAGTGCACTCCAGTAAATATATTCCTCAGTTAATCTCTTTTTTGTTCTCTCTTTTGCACAAAGAAAATGAACCTTGAAACAAAGTGAAAGAGCTCATTTTAAACTTATCATTCATGAAGGAAAACGGAAAATCTGTTTCCAGGTGTTCGACTCTGCATGGTTGTATAAAGCCTTTTGTGGCTCCAGAGGGAGCTGCAGAAATTTTAAAAAGAGAATAAATCTGGGGGTTTTGGAGTTAGAAAGAAGCGATTTTAACAGACCTCTGAGGCCCACTGCTAATCTCTGCTTGGCGTTAGCGGCTCCAGGCTACATTAGCTGCTACTAGCATAACACACCCGAATCTCCGTATGAACTGGTGATGGTCGAGTTGCTTTTCTGGGTAATGTAGGTGCCTGATATTGACAGGGAGGAAGACTGCATTGAGAAAAAAAAAAAAAAGATATGTGAGCTGCATCGATTTTGATCCTTTTCTTAAACTGAATCAGTGTTTTTGGAGTGTAACGTTAAATCAACATCGTCAGATTGACTCTTTTAAGTCCGTTTTTTGAGCAACAAGTGCCAAAAATGTGCTGACTCCGGTGTCTCTCTCTATTTCCTGGTTTTCTCAGTTTTCTGGTAATCTGAAAATCTAAATGTCAGACAGAACAATTAATATGAATATGTCAACCTGGGCCCTGATTGGTGTTTTTCATGTTACAGGTTACAGAGAAAAATGATTCATAGATTTAACAAGAAAAAAAAAAAAATGTTTGATGCAACCCTAGAATTTGTTATTTGTCTGTTATTCTCAGACCGTGAATGGACTGATTTTAACCCTGCAGGATCTTTTCAATCACTATCTAAAATGTCACATGACATCATATATTCAGAAATAGCCCACATCGTACTGAACTTTAATATAGTAAAGCGATGAGAGGCAGCAGTACCAGGAAAAAAGACACACATTATTAAGTATTAAGTTGCTGAGGAGAAAAAAATATAATGTTTCATTACGACCACAATAAATGTGGAAGCCACTATCCCCATATTACAACACAAGAGTCACAACTTAGTGTCTTATGCACTGTGGGACAATATGAAGTCAGAAATCATTATCCAATAAAAGATCAGATTTATGAGGAGATTCACTTTGAGAGGAGGGGGTGAATGTCACATTGGTCATTAATTAAGTTTTAAAATCCTTCACTGAAGCAGCCTGAGAGAGAAATGACACGTCATCCTCAGTTCATTGTCTCCTACAAGATAGAAGTAAACGGGGACAACAACCGCAACGTTTATATACAATTCATAACCAAAAAAAATCTAAGCTGTTGTTTCCCTCTGCTTCCAGTTTGTTCCATTCAGAGACTACATCGACAGATCTGGCAACCAGGTCCTGAGCATGGCCCGGCTGGCTAAAGACGTCCTCGCCGAGATCCCCGACCAGCTGCTGTCCTTTATGAAAAGCCGAGGAATTGAACCGCGACCGGCTCTCTCCACCTCTCCGATACCGGGGCTACACCGGCATATCTGACCCCGACACTACCACGGCCACTCATCTCTGACTCTCTCTCTCTCTCTCTCCCCCTTTCCCCACTCCACCACTCTGCTTATCTACTCTCACAATTATTTGTCACTTTAAAAAGGAGCAGAAGGATCGACCCGTGACTCGCCCTCTTCCTCTCTTATCACCCGTGAAGCTAAACAGGCACATCAGAGCGACGCAGCGGGCACTCATCCCTGACTCACCTGCTGTTGTTCCTCATCTTTTCCTCTCTAACTCACCCTGTTATACGGCATCACTTCCCATTTACCGTGTGAAAGACCAGTGAGACTGAACCATGACCATCCCTTTCCTCCCCACTGATTATCATTCAAAGCCTGACTTTTTGAATTTGTCTGTTAATTCCCCTCACCAGACACTTCTCTTTTTTTCAAGGGGAGGTTTTTACATGTGTCCTTGTCCTCAGCAGCGCTGACTATTCTCTTATTTGGCACGAGTCCCAGAAGCGCAAGAAACAAAAATTGAATTGAGGCTAGTCCCTAAATGAAAGCAGAGCCCTTGATGAGCAATATACACCGGCTTGATTAGGTGCTTTCGGGGGGTATCTCTGGCTATAGTTTGACTGTAATTCATTGGAGTAATTGGTCACCATTATTATGATACTTTGCTATCGTCAATATCATCGAGCCGCGCCAAATCTCTCTAGCAATTAGTTTAATCCAAACAGAAGAAATAGAGAGGAAGAATCAGGGAGACTCTCGTGTGGACGTCATACAGAGGGGTAGCAGACAAGTGTTGGCAGGTCTAGTGTGGGGGCTCCAGTCACATGTTCATTATTACCCGTCACACACACACACACACACACACACACACACACACACACACACACACACACCCACACACACACACACACACACACACACACACACACCTCTGTCTGCCATGCCACACCCACCCTCTCTTTGCCCAGCATGGGCTGAGGCTGGGTGCAGATTCCCCCCCGCTGTTAGAGAAATGCCAGTCTCTCTGGCTGCCCCTGCAGAGAGGCGGGGGAGGAGGAAGGAAAGAAGAGATGGGGAGGGAGGGAAGAAGGCGGAGGTGGGAGTAAACAAAAGAGAAATGGAGGTGTAAGAGAGTGAGGGAGAAACGGAGAGAAAAACAAATGTGGAGTGTGGAGGAAAGAGACGAGAGATGGACAAGGCAGCGAAGAGAGAGACAATAGCCCGGCGCTGTGTTCAGTTTTAGTTTGAATAGTCTTTGTGTATCTCAATGAAGGATAAATGCACATTCTCCAAAAAGCAATATTCCTGACTTCCAGTGTAACGTTTGCCCTATGCATGTCCCTCCCTCTCCCTCTCCCCCGCCATGACTTGACATTTTATTGCCAGGCAGACTGAAGCCGAGTACAAAGTGGGCAAAGTCTGCCACCTAGTGTTCACGCTTTGTAGAGCTGGGTATCTTAATTATGCATGACCGCTGTACATTCCTATACAAGCTCACACAGTGCAGACGCATGAAACTTATGCAGCTGACTTTACTATCATAACACAGCACAGTGATTCCAGGCGTCCCAACAGCTCAAATAACAGAGAGAAAACCACGCTGATGGTTTAGGAACTACAGACATCTTTGTTCTTATGACGTGAAATGTGTCGCTTTTTGAAGACGTTCTGTTAATGTCAGTGTGATGGTGGTGGCTTAGAGGGGTGTTTAATGTGATGTGTAAGTATATTCTTTTTTTATTTTTTTCTTTCCCAAATGAACTTGTACAATAATTAGTTTAATCGTCAAGATTTTGCATGTCGGGGAAATCAGTGTGTTACAGTGTTGAAGTTGGTGTTGTCATTGCAAATGATTGTCCAAAAAAAGAAAAAGAGAGAGATATGAATATATCTCAAAGTAATATGCATCCTTCTTGTGTCACTGTACATTTTCATTTGTCGAGCTCAGAGCTAACTCGTGTGGGCAGTGTCTTGCAGAAACCTGGTTTATTCATTAACTGAAGCTTGTGAATTTCCCCCCATTGAGAGACATGTATTTTTGATATTTTGCAACGATGTGGCCTGTTCTCACGGTCACCAAATCCAGACATGTAAGGTCTCTGCAAGACACCTGCGTATCAGTGCACACCAGCCTGTAGTGTGATTTTTGTACAAGAGCATTTTTGTCTCTCTTATCTCTGTCCGATGGCTTTATTAACACGTCTATATTCAGCATAGTGTTTAAAACATGAAGATGGATGAAGTTAGATTGTATATATAGTACAGTACATGATGAAATATGTTTCCCACTCGTTTGCTTACAGTAGAGCTAAAAAAAAAAAAAAAAGCCTTTTAAATTTGTGTCTCTAATAATAAATCTATATTGTATGTTGACGTTTTTATGAATGTCCAACTAAGAAGAATGTAGAAGTTTGAACTAGAAACCCTTAACTGTTTTGACGAATATCTTATCGTATTTTGATATGAGGTTTGACTAAGTTTGTGTTTACTCATATCTCCTGAAGTTGATGAATTGCATTACGATATTACCAAACATAAAGCGACACAATCTGATCGTTGTATGTTGTTGTTTGTCCACAGAGAGATTATTTGAGGTGGCAAGTCGATGCTATTACAGTATCCCCAGTGATGATTCATTCTCCAGCACAACACAGCGCTGAGCTGCCTCCCGTCAAACAGGCTTATAACTGCTTGATTCAGTAAACAGATTAAAGCACTTTAATACACAGAGCTATACATAATGGTGACATGTTTGCCTCATACCCAATTTCTTCGCTATATCGCCTGTATCTACTTCCCTCCTGTGTTGAAAATAAATATATACTTCCTGACATAGAGCTGTGATATAAAGTCAATTTTAACACTTTTTCTGAAAAAAAACAAACATTTGTAACGTCCATATCATTTGTTTTCACCAGAAAGTTGATTTTATTAGTAAAAGTAGTGGAAAGATCCAACACCTTCATATCACTTCCTGTTATGTTTACTGTAGCAGACAAATATTTATATCCAAGTTAAAAGGTTATAGATATGAATTGTGTTTTTACCATCTGTTGCATTCCTAGCTGTGTGGATGTTCTTCTGTTCTCGTTAGTGGCCATTAAACTCAAAAGCTGCTTAATTTACTGACATTATTCCATGGCTGAATGAGTGAGAGGCCAGTCAGGTAATCACAGAGTGAGGGATGATGAAGTAAAATACTGAATAATACATGACATGGCAAAGAAGATTATGGAAACCCAAACATTATACACCGATATGAACATTTAATTCCAAAATCATTAGTATTAATCTGCTGGTGTAACAAACTCCACACTTCTGGGAAGCTGGAAGTGCTCAAGTGGGCGCTGAGGCCTGGCTACAAGTTGGTATTCCAGTTCATCCTAAAGTGGTTGAGGTCAGTGCTAGTGCCGGCCAAAAATAAACGATAGGTATTCCTGCGTGTTAAACATCAACCGCTTTAACCGGCAATCTAAAGTCTGAGACACTGACAAAAGCTTTCACTCGCCTACTCGCCTTTTATATGTTTTCAAACTAACTGCCAGCAATGAACAATCTTTAATAGAGTTATAAACTCACTTGAGGACTGTGTGACAAAGTTTAGCTTTAAGCAGCGCAGGTGGTGACAGACTGACGCGTTTCCCTCTCAGGGGGGTCACTGCTGTTCAGGACGACAAACTCGTAAACTCCTCTCTGCTGCTGCTGCTCTTGCACATAGTCGCTGCCCTCAACACTTCCTGGACACACCGAATTGCAGCCGAAGAATACCAGGGACACCGTGTGAGAGCTTCAGGGGCTCATCCGATATGCTCATGCACCAGAGTCAGGCAGTAGACTCAGTGCTCGTTAGCCTGTTAGCTTGTTAGCCTATGGATATTACTCCTGATTCCTGCGGCCTGCAGACTTAAAGGAGCTATTGGTTTTGCTATTGCTACATAGCCAACGTTAGCATTAAGAGCTGTTTACTTACCAGTCTACTCTAAACTAAATGCTCCACTATGTTCACCTGCTAGTCTCTAACTTTGCCTGGTTTGGGAAGGTAGCATACAATGTTCGTGTGTCAGCTTTCTCACTGGAAAACAGCTGCATGTGTCTGGAGACTATGCCGATGAGAGAGGTGAGAGAAACCTAAAACAGGAAAGTTTCAGGCCGTAAAACCAAAACAATGAGAGGAATGACACTAAAATGCTCCACAGAGCTGAGGGGAACCACTCGGCCTGGTGATAAATCTGTGGGTTTGTCACTTTGAGCCCCACACCTTTTCACACAGTCATTCCATACTATAATCCATGGTAAATGCAAATATAAGGATTATAGGAGCTTTAATGAGTCAATTCAAGTTAAGTCAAGGGGCTTAACAGTCTGTACAGCATTACAACACCCTCTGTGCTTAGACTCTTGAATTGAACAAGGAAAAAAAAGCTTTAACAGAAAGAGCAACAGAGGAGGGATCTCCAGGACGGACAGACATGCAACAGTACATTTACAGTGTGAACAATCAGGATGACAATATCATAGATGTAATCATTAGTGAAAAATATGATCCGGGAGAACAAAGAGCAACTTTCAGGTGCCGCCAACAGATAGGAGCTGAGCCACACGACGCTCCTCTCCACCATGAAGACCTGGACAGAGGACAGACTACACAAACACACAAGAGGCAAAACCAAGCAAACAGAGTCAATTCAACCATATCACAAACAAATATAACTTCCTCGCGACAGGGCGGATATGTAATGATCTAACGAACGTTGTTTGTCTACTTTTCAAGATATTTGAGACATCTCCACCTGTCCAATCGAGTCAAGACAGTTTTCAATACAGCTCCTACTCACATTTCTGTAAAACCGACATAATAATTACAACAAGTGACAAAATGTTAGCAGTGATGGATTACCAACCGACCAATCTGACATGTTTGCAAGTTTATTTTCCAGCCATTCTAAATTATTTTTTTTAAAAAACTATGGCTATGGAAACATGGCTAAGCTAGCCGTGATGCTGTAATCACGCACCAAAGTGCTTTGAGCTAAATGCTTACTCCAGCATGGTAGAATGCTCACAATGACAATGCCAATGGCATTTTATCATGCTAAAATTAGCTAATTAGCACTAAACACAACGTCAAGGCGATGTTGCAGGTATAACTTGTCAAGGTCAAGTTAAAATGTTGACCTGATGATGGCACTAGATTGGTGATGAATCGTAATAAAAATTTGGCAATTCCTTATTTCAGAGGACTATGAATGAAGGGGCAAGATTTCATGGCTTTACGTCCAATTTGAGGAGACAAAGAAGTGTGTGGCTAAAACGTTAGTAATGAGTAAAAATTTATAGATGAGGGACTAAAACAGGTAGAACAACCACATGATCTTCTAATAAAAGCACAGACACAATTCTCCCAGCCTATAAATCCCTGCATAAGGATTCACTGAACAGGTTGTTTATTGCTGTGTAAGTATTTTGTTATGCAGACACTAGAGAAGTGGAGAAAAAGTGACTAAACAGATCACAGCAGTTGCACAGAGGAACAGTCAGTGCTGGACATGCTGTGACAGCCTATTAAACATAATGGCTAAAAGAGCCAGAAGAGTAGTTCTGCCTGGATGTAAACATGCTACTAAAGGAGGTGTTTTGAAGGAGGCAGGAGTTGAGGAGAGACAGGAGGAGTCAGAGAGGCTGAGTAGCAGCTCAGGAAGTGAAGGACCGCATTGTAGAAACTTTAAACACAGTGGAACGTGACGGCGGGTATGT